GGGGGGGGGGGGGGGGGATTACGAGTGAGTTTGGATGGACTGTTCCGGCGAATTTGATGCCTGCGCTGATGCCGATGGCACATGCAAGGATGAACATCTTCCGCTGGGTGAAGCCACCGTGAGCCACCATCGACAGACCTACACACACACACACACACAGAAACACACACACACACGGACAAACATACAGACAGAGAGACGCGCTCCAGATGCGTTGTCCTATCCTCTTCTCTCTCCTCTCTCTCTCTCTCTCTCTGTGTGTGTGTGTGTGTGTGTGTGTGTTGCAGGTGCTGACACTGACCTCCGATGAGCATGAGTCCGAAGCAGATGGTGAGGGCCGCGCCGATGACTGGCCAGGGGATCAGCACAAAGGCCGCACCGAACTTGCCAAACAGACCTGTGTGACGGGTGGGCGGCAGGATGGCATGGCATGTGGCCGTCTTTTGGTGTGTATGGTACCCAGGAATACGAGCAGGAAGCCCACCACAACGCCTGCACGGCGAGAGGCTACACGCTGATGAGAGAAAGACAAGACAACAGCCAAGGCGAGAACATGACGATGGTTGAACTCATGAGAGCAGATGGGTCACCGTCATTGCAATGATGCCGTTGTTCTGAAAGGAAGAGAGACAATTGACAGGGAATGACAGACACATTTTTCGCTCCCGTGTGTGTGCCTGTCTCTGCTCGCGGCTCGCGTACCCCGCTGTAAGTGATGTTGGGAAATGCCGTGAAGATGGCGCAGAACAGACTCGAGAAGGCATCATTCAGCAGACCACCCTGCACACAAACGGAGAAAGCAATGGCATACGGGTCGGGGCCTCTGTTGGTTGAACGACGAACCTGCAGGATGAGATTGAAGCGGTCGCCTGCAGTGGGCAGGCCGCTGTACTTGGCCGTGGCAGTGAGGTCGCCCATGCACTCTACACCAGACACGATGTAAGCGATGATCATCGGCAGCAGCAGAGACCCGTCAAACGCCACACCGTACCTGCACGAGCCAGACACGTCTTTCTCTCTCTCTCGGTTCTCCTCCTTCTCTGCTCCCTTCCTCCCTCCCTGACTCTCACTTGAACAGGTGTGGGTATGTGAACCAAGGCGCATCCGCGAGACCATTGTTGCTGATGTCCATGTTGATGAACCCGTCACACCCCCAAGTCGGCCCGTGCGCACACCGCCTCGTGCCGAAAAAGAGAGCGAAGATGGTACCGAATAGGATGCCGAAGAAGACGGCGGCTGACTTGAAGATGGGGATGGAGTACTTGGCGCGGACCCAGTAGAAGCCGACGATCATGCAGATGGTGAAAAGACCCAGACAGACCCCACTCGTTGGGCGCCCCGTAGGCGTCGAACGGTCCCACATTGCCCGCCAGGTTGTTGACGCCCACATAGAGCAGGGACAGCCCAATCATGAACACCACAGTGCCCTGCACACACGAACGGACACACAGACAGAGAGAGAGAGGATCGGCACCACATGGGTGGAGTGTGTCGTTAGCGGCTGGATTACCGTGACGAGTGGCGGGAAGATGGCCTTCATCTTGGTCGGACAAAAAGACATGAAGGCCTCGACGATCCAGCATATCATGGCCCCCACAAAGATGGCAGCCAGCCTGACGACAGACAGACAGACAACAAATGGCGCCATACATACACACAAAATGGTCCATATACGTGTGTGTGTGTACCTCTGATGCGGTGTGAGGGAGCGGTCGACGTTGGACGCTATCACAACAAACGTGAATGACGTGCCCATGACACTCAACATCCCTGACCCCAGAGCGATTCCCTGAACAACACACACACACCCGGCCGACCACCGGGCGGGCCGGCAACGTAAAGCCATGTGCGTGCCGTGCTGTGCGTGGCAGTACCAGAGGGAAGCCGGGCAGCGGAGGTGTTCTGAACTGGTAGACGTGGATCAGCGTGCACACCCCAGACGTGAAGACGCTCATGCTCACGAGGTAAGGGATCTCATCAAAATTCTCAGTGGCAATGCCGATGAGTGTGGCGGCGGTGGGGAGTGACCCAAGCATCACGAGAGCATGCTGCAGGCCGAAGAAGCACGCCAAGTGCCACGGGATCTTCTCGTCGGGCTTGATCAGCCGGTCTTGACCTGCAAACACCAAGCGAAAAGGCATCAGATCATTCAAAATCTTCATGTTTGGCTTCACGCATGCGCACCTCTGAACATGTTGACCCTTGCCGGCTGTGCATTCTTGACGGCCGAAGGGTGCTGCTTCAGGGGCGCCTCCGACTCAGTCATGGCCTCACTCATGCTCATGGTGGCAAAGGCAACGCCCCTTGACTCCTCCCGGAGGCGCTTTGCCGGTTCAGAAGAGGTCGTAGATCTATCGCCGGAATCGGCCGGATGGTCCGACGGTGAAGATCTCGTGAAATGTCGTGAAACACATCACTCATGAGCTAGCTCGCTCCGGCAGGGGGAGCAAAATGACGGCGAAGGTGCCTGTCATAGATCTGCTGCTTCCCGAGGAGGAGGTTGTCAAGGCCATCCGCAAAGGATGCGAGGAGGTGAGCGGAGCAAACAGGAGAGGACGCGTCTGCGCCAATCTCGTTCATCGTCTTGCTTGTCTGGCGGACACTGCAGATTGGCTTCCTCTGCATCATCAACCATGGCGTTGACCCAGCTGTCGTGGCGGGCGCCTTCAAGGCGATGCACGACTTCTTCACCCTGCCCCTTGAGACCAAGATGAAGAGCAAAGGAACACCTGCAGGGTGCGACAGGCAGCCGCAGAAACAGTCTTGGAGCCCGTCACACACTCTCTGCGCGTGTGTGTGTGTCTGATCAGCTACATGCCACTGCAAGCTCAGACGCTGGACCCTGGTACGCACAGACAGGCAGACAGACAGACAGACAGCTGAATGCCCCCTGTCCATCTGTTTGTTCTTTGGGCAGAGAACCAGACCGAGCCAGACCAAAAAGAGGGCTATGGCATGGTTGAGGAGGTGCCCGCCGGGCACGATCCCAACGAGTTTCCCTTCCACGGCAAGCGTGTGTACCCGGACGACAGCGACGTGCCGGGCTGGCGGGAGGCCGTCATGGGTTACTATGGTGCGGTGCGGTCGCTGGCGATGCGGATGCTGCGGTACATCGCCTTGGCCATGGAGGTGCCCGACGCCGACGCATTCATAGCCAAGAACTTCGAGTGAGCGGACGCTCAGCAGCCTTGTTGGGCGTGGTCGACCGATATATGTGTCTGTTCGTGCCCATGACAGGTTCCCCATCTTCCACATGCGGATGCTTCGGTATGAACCGCGGGCGTCCAATCCGGCAGAGGGGCGACTCGCGGCGGGCGCACACACTGACTGGGGTGAGAACAGTTCAACAGATGTGACCCTCATAATGAATGCACGGTGGGGTGTGGTCTGTGTGTCTGTGTTTCTTGTAGGGTTGATAACACTGCTCAAGACGGATGGCGGGGAAGGACTGCAGGTGCAGCCGCGCAACTCTTCTGAGTGGCTCGACGTCGAGGAGCCGGCCAATGCCTTCGTTGTCAACCTGGGAGACCTGCAGCAGGTGCGTCAGCCACGTGGCCCCAACTGATTTTGTCATATGTGTGTGATGCCCGCGGGGCTCTGTGTTTGTCTGTCAGCGGTGGACCAATGATGTGTTCACTTCCCGGCCGCACCGAGTGATGCTCAAGTCTGACAAAGTGCGATATAGGTAAAGGCCCCTGTGCACACAGACCTGACAAAGACACACACACACACACACACATATGCGAGCTTGGCCTTCTGTGTGTGCGGCGTGGCGTTGCAGCATAGCCTACTTCTGTGATGCGGACGAGCGCGCATTGGTCGAATGTCTGCCGTCGTTCCAGTCGCCCTCCCGCCCTCCCCGGTATTCGCCCATTACGCAAGCGGCCTACCTGGCGGCCAAGTATGAGCAGACGATCAAGAAGGAATTCAATGTCGTGAGCGCCAGTGTCGAAAGGGTGGAGGAGAGTGCCGTTGTGTGATTGACTGATATGCATGATGGGTAACGCATCGCGGCCTTTTTGCCGCTGATGGCGACCTTGTATGGCAATGGTGTTCATGATGATGCACTGCGTGGTTTTTTCTTTTTCTGTTTGTTTTCCCTTAGCGGCTGTGTCGGTTCTGTCTCGTGGCCGTCTCGTGGTGATGTGTTTGCATCAATCGGAAGGGAAGCCATTCAATTGTCACATGTGGATCATGATGAGGGGAGGCTATCGATCTTTCTCTCCAGTCTGTCCAGTCGTTGGTCTATATCTATCAGACGATTCTCGAGTCGACGCGATGCTGACACATAGGCACACACACACACACACAGACATATTCCCTGTGCCAGAGTGCCATTACTGTGAACACCTACTCAGTTCCATCTCTCTCATGAACCACACCAAATCGTAAGAACCTGTGCGAAGGAGAAATGTCACAACACGCGCCAAAGTGAGAGAGGATACATTTGATGCACCCCCCACCCACATCCCCAGCCACTCGCCGCTCACCGAGGAAGAAATTGTTGTCTTGGAATATATCATCAGACTGCTCGAGAGGCCGGACATACTTGCAGCCATCCAGCGTATCGCAATCGTGCTCCAAGATGTCTTCCAGGCTGATGTACGACCAGAATGCGCTCTTGTCCGGGTCGAACTCACGCGGCGTGCGTCCCGTGGCCCCAAAATAAAGTTCTGAATGACGAATAATCAGGACCATTCTGTCCAGGTCAACGTAGTAGAGGAAACCGTGGAGGCCCCGCCCGTAGGTTCCATCATTGACTACCCCGAGCTGCAGCACCCTTTCCAGCGACCTGTTTTCCCCTCGAAGAAGAATGGGTCATCGCCTATCTCTTCGTAGACCGTCTTCAGCTGCGCAACCTGGACACAAGACAAACAGCGCATCCAAGACTTGACGGGCAATGCATGACCTGATCTCACTCACTGACTGACTTGTCGCTTCCATCTTGCCAGCGAAGGGTCTTCCTTCAAAGCCGCCTTGACCTCACTTAATACCGAATCTCCGAGGCCCGAAGGATACCCATCATAGTTCTGCAGCAGACAGAAGCGCACAGGCTGCATGGACGACACGAGAGAGGGAGGCAACCGACGGAAACCGCCTACGGTGTGAAAGCAGTACTTTCTTCCTTGATAGAGGAACCCAGCGGTGCCGGGCATCGTCATCCTCACACACGAGCGACGCCTAAAGCGGTATGGTGGCCTCACAGGACGGCTGCGGACGGCATCGAGGCCTCTGGCGGATGAGGGATGAGTCGGCAACAGTGAGAAGCCGTCAATGAGGGGAAGAAACGGCAAGAGAAGACAGATGCGCATCACAGACGACGGGGAAGAGGGCGATAAAGCAGCCGAAACGAGTGACTTCCAGAACGACAGAACGAGTGACTTCTGATCGAACTCATTGCAGATGGTTCTCTTCTCTCTTGTTCCTTTCTAATCTTTGCGAACGGCATGAAGGCATTCCATCCGCTCAGAAACCGGTTCGTTCGACCCCGAGAAGTCATTTTACGTAAACCGAAAAGTGGGAACTCACTACACGCCACGGTGTCGGCTTTCGGGCGTTTCTCTGGTGTCCGAAAGTCTGGTATCGGAACACACGAATGCGCACGCCAAACCGATGCATGTGTCAGGAGATATCCCATCGGCTGCCTTCATTGCATTCACAGGCCACAACATTGTGGGGCTCGCACCAACTAAGCAGACCCCTCTCCTCTCCCATCGTCAGCTCAGCTGACCATCTCTCTTTTCACCGGATACAGCGGCTCACACCCGTTCAGCCGCCATATGTCACACACAAGCACTGTGGCCACACTCAGCCACATAGTCTGCGGCAAGAGGATCCAGCCAGCAATCGGCAAAGCAGCGAAGTACAGGCGATTCGCGGCGATGCTGCTCGCCAGGACAAGCAAGACGACCGATGCTGCCGTCCCCCGTCTCCTGTCCACGTTCTGGATCGTGTTCCAGGTGTCACCTGAAGACACTCAACGACAGACAACACACGCCCGTCCGAAGTGACAGGCATATGCGCTTTCATACTCACTCACCGATGGAGAGATGCAGCATCAGCGCAGCGATGGGAGGCGTCAGGAAGGCACCTGCCTGGCGCCTGCAGAAGGCATCAAGACATGAATGAGGCAGCAGCAGCAGCAGCAGCAGCCATTTCCACTCACCATATCAATGTCGACGAAAGCGTCCGCAGCATGGCGATGGTGCCCCACACAAAGGGAAACACGATAGGTGGCGGCATCCATGAGGGCCTCGTCCCTTCAGCAATTTCTTTCCGCTCGCTCAGCGGAGTTGGCCGCTGGTTGTTCAGCACCGAGAACAGACGTGATCTCACCGCCATCAGCGCGAAGAAGGAGGCAGTGAGGGCCGTCGGGACGAAGGACGGCAGGGATGAGGGCAGGAGGGGCATCCCCCGGTCAAGGGCGGCAAGAGTCACCAGAATGCATGCCCACTGTAGTGCTGCAGGCCACATGCTGGTGCCGAAATGTGTGATCTGCTCATCTGTTGTGTGCATTGCTTACCCGTTGCGAGTAGGTACTTCGCCGTCGCACCGATATCCCATTCTTTCCTGACAACTGCCTTCGTTTGTGCGGATGGCTCACTCACCGCTGTGGAAGCAGCTCTCATCTCGCTTCCAGTCCGCCGTCCTGCACACTGAACTGCTGCTGCAAACGAGGGGATCTGATTGAGGCATCTTCTCGGCGTGAGAGGTGCGCTGGGAACGGTCTGAGGTGATGAGTGAAAGGCGAGAGACGAGGACAAAGCGGCGATCCATACACACACGAGGGTCCAGCTGCTAGGCGCCATCGTCGGTGTGTGTCTTTGGAGCGTCGTGAAACAGAGTTTAACTGCGAGCTAATCCCGCAGACCTGTTTTCAGTTTCGATATATGAAGGAGTTGGTTGCTAGGATGACACAGGAGGGCAGCTGAGAGGCTTTTTCTGCAGTCAGATTCAGCACTCGTCATTGCCCGGCGGAGAAAGCAGTTGGACCTCCCTCCGGTGAGCCAGCCGTCTGCTGCCGACCACTGGGCTGCCACGGTCGTCACATCAACACCCATAACACATCACCTCCAAGGTGAGGGGTCGACTCGACGGCATATCGGTGATCGTCTTCTCCCAGCGTCGGCACGCAGAGAGCCTCTATACGCAGAGCAAGGCTCACCGATAGTGTCCTGGTGTGATTGTCTGCTTCCTGCAGGTCGTTTGGTGACTGTGTCCGCCATCTATCCGTTGCTCGGACTTCTCTCCCACTTCTCTCCCGTGTGATTGTGAGTGTGAGTGAGGCGGCATGGCGACCGACGGGTTTGACATCGCCGTCGACGACTTCTCGCGCATCGTCAACGCCTATGTGGCCAGAACTGTCACCGAAGACCTCGATGAGATCAAGAACCTCGGTAGCTACTACAGACACAGCCAGCCAGCCGTCCATCCATCTATCCGTGTGGTTGGCCTGCACTGCACCGCAGGTGGGCAGAAGGGCATTATGGAGAAGCTGCGGACGGACCAGCACACCGGCCTCTCGCAGAAGGCCGATGACAAGGCCGACCGGAAGGCAACTTTCGGCGTCAACAAGCTGCCAGAAGTACCACCGACGCGTACGCCGCACTCACACACGGAGAGGGATCTACTGGATGCTGAACAGAAGAATGATTGGGTCTCTCTTTTGTGTGTCCGTATGTGTGTGTGTGTGTGCAGCATTTTGGCGTTTGATAATAGCTGCGTTTGAGGATTTCACGTTGCGCATCCTGGCTGTGTGTGGCGTGGTGTCACTCATCCTCGGCGTGGCCGCCTCGGAACACCCTGAGATTGGTACGTCACACACACACACATACAGAGGGACACAGAGCCAGCCGATATTCCGATGGATTGGTTGGTTCAGAGTGGATTGAGGGTTTTGCCATCTTCGTGGCGGTGTTTGTGGTGGTTCTGGTGACGGCATGGAACGATTGGAACAAGGAGAAGCAATTCAAGAAGCTCAACGAGATCAAGGTAGATAGACTAGACACACAACCAGCCGCACACACACCATCCTCTCTCTCTGTGTGTTTGTGTGTGTGCGTCTACGCCAACAGGAGCAGAAGGACTGTTCGGTGATCCGCAACGAGGCCAAGCACAAGATATCCGTCTTCGACCTCGTGGTCGGCGACATCATCGCACTCGAAACAGGCGACGAAGTGCCCGCAGTAAGTGCGCTGCTGACTCCTCGACGCGGCTGCGTCAAATCCCTTCTCTCTCTCTCTCTCTCTGTGTGTGTGTGTGTGTGTGTGTGTGCCACTTACAGGACTGTTTGGTGATGCGGAGCTATGACGTCAAGGTGGACGAGTCGTCGCTTACCGGCGAGACAGAGCAGATCGTCAAGGCGCCGTACGACACGTGTGTGGAGCAGATCGAGCAGAGGCAGGAGAAGCTCAACAACACCACGGGCAAGAAGCACCACGTCGTCGACAGCCCGGTGGTGCTCTCCGGCACCACACTCACACACGGCAGCGGGACCTTCCTGGTCGTCTCGGTGGGAATCAACTCACAGGTACGCAGGCAGGTCGAAAAAGAGAGCGATGGTGTCTGTATGGGCGTCTCGTCTCTGTGTGTGTGTGTAGGTGGGTCGCCTGATGCAGCTGCTACAGACGGCTCCTGAAGCGACCCCGCTCCAACGTGAGCAACACACTCGCCGACTCACTCACAACACGGATGCCATCCCTTCGTGTGCGTGTGTGATGTGTTATGACATCAATCAGAGAAGCTCGAGAAGATCGCCCGCGACATCGGCAAGGCCGGTCTTGCCGCAGCCCTTCTCACGCTGCTCGCGCTGTTGCTCCAGTAAGCCAAGCCAACCACACACACACACACAATGCACCCAGCCACTAAGTCTGCGTGTATGTGATGGCAGGTACTGGATCATTTATGCGCTGGCTGAGCCTGAAGACCGCGACGATGCCTCGAGCATAGCCTCGGAGCACGTCGACTTCTTCGTTGTGGCGGTAAGCAGCCAGCCAGCCAAGCTGATCCCATTCCCCTCACACCTGTCCTGTGTGTGACCTGTGTGGATGGATGGCCGGCCGCCCCATCCTCTGTGTGTTCTGTTCTGTGTGGTGTGCAGATCACTGTGGTGGTGGTTGCCGTGCCTGAAGGCCTGCCCTTGGCCGTCACCATCTCCCTGGCGTACTCGATATCCAAGATGCTCGCAGACCAAAACTGGGTGGGTCGAAAGAGCCGACAGACACATCACACTGCAAAAACCGAGGAGGCAAGATAAGATACCCCTCTCTGTGGGTGTCTCAGGTGCGTCGTTTGGCCGCGTGTGAGACCATGGGCGGTGCGAATGAGGTCTGCTCCGACAAGACGGGCACCCTTACCAAGAACAGAATGACAGTGCAGGTGAGACGGACACACGCAGAGAGAGAGAGAGAGAGAGACGAGTGTCCGCACGCACGCACCGTTTCTCCTGTGTGCGTGTGTGTGTGTGTGTGTGGCCTCTCTCTCTTTGCAATAATCAGGCGTTTTGGAACGGCAGTGTGCTGAATGAGTTTGAAAACACCCAAGAGAACCGGTGTGACCTCAAAGAGCCCTACATGCAGGTCTGTGCGTGAGCATCTGTCCATCCATCCATCCCTCCATCCATCCATCCATGTGTGCGTGTGCGTGTGACACACATGTTTTCACAATCCACAGATTCTGATGGACGGTCTGGCTGTCAATTCGACGGGCTACCTGGAGATCGACAATGTCGCCATTATGGACGGCACGGGGAGAACCAAAGAGGTCGGTCAGGCAGCTCAGGCAGCCAGCCGTTGTGTCCGCTGACGAGAGTGTGTGTGCGTGCGTGTGTGTGTGTGTGGTCAGGTGATCAACCACGTGGGCTCGCCCACCGAGTGCGCTTTGCTGCAATACATGAGGGTCAGCGGCACCACACCATACACACACGAGAAGGAGAGCAGCATACACACGAATTGTGGTGTGTGTGTGTGTCCATCCATCGGCCTCCCAGATGCTCGATTACGACTACTCCGCCATCCGCAAAGACTACGAAGACAAGGTAGGTACCATCCCTCTCCCTCCACACACGCGCCTCACACACACACACGAGTCGATCTGTGTGTGTTCGTTCGTCTGTCCGTCTGTCCATCGACCCATCGGTTGATCAGATTGTGCACCAGGAGCAGTTCACTTCTGACCGCAAGATGATGACCACCGTCGTCCGCCTCCCCGACGGCAAGCTGCGCATCTTCACCAAAGGCGCGTCTGAGCGCGTCCTCAGGCTCTGCAGCAGCCGGATCGACCAGGCCGGCAACCTGCACAGGCTCGGCATGATGGAGATCGAGCGCATCGAGCAGGCCATCATCCAGAAGCTGGCCTCTCAGGCCCTCCGCACCATCGCCATCGCATACCGAGACATCGACGAGAACGCGTTGCCCGACTGGCGCGACCCCGACCCCAACACGGGCTTCTTCAAGATGGAGAGCGACATGACCATTCTGGGGATCACAGGCATCCGCGACCCTGTCCGCGACGAGGTGCCTGAGGCCGTCCGGCGGTGTCAGCGGGCCGGCATCAAGGTGCGCATGGTGACGGGCGACAACATCGAGACGGCCAAGCAGATCGCCATCAAGTGCAACATCTACAGACCAGAGAACCACGGTCTCGCCATGCTCGGCAAGGAGTTCTACGCCATGGTAACCAACCACACCCACACCAACACACGCAGGCAGCGACGCCATTCTATTCGCAAACAAACACGCGTTTCTTGGTTGGTCGGTGGGTCGATCAGGTGGGTGGCGTGATCTGTGAGCTGTGCCGGACTGAGACGTGTGACTGTGCCCGGGAGGCCAAGACAGCAGCAGCCGAGAACAAGAAGATCCGCAATGACGTGCTGGGCAAGCCTGACGAGTTCGCACGGATCGCCCCGAGGCTGGAGGTGCTTGCACGGTCGCAGCCCTCCGACAAATACGCCCTCGTCACAGGTGCGTTCTGCGGATGGGGGCCCTCGTGTAGACTAGATGGGTGTTTCTGTCTGCTCGTCACACAGGTTTGAAGAACTTGGGTGCTGTCGTTGCGGTGACGGGGGACGGCACCAACGACGCCCCTGCACTCAAAAAAGCCGGTGGGCAGATAAGGACCCTCACACACACACTCACACACACACACACACACGTATGGCCTTCCGGACTGTGTATGTGTGTGTGTGTGTGTGTGGTCAGATGTGGGATTTGCAATGGGTTTGGCTGGCAAGGAGGTTGCCAAGGCTGCCGCAGACATCGTGCTGCTCGATGACAACTTCGAGTCGATCGTCAAGGTAAGCGGCACGCCCCAAGAGGCACATCCATCCACGGGGGCGAGATGGTCTCTGTGTGTGTGTGTAGGCTGTCAAGTGGGGCCGAAACATCTACGACAACATCCGCCGCTTCCTGCAGTTCCAGATCACCGTCAACATCGTCGCTGTCCTCACGGCATTCGTCAATGGTACCCAATGCGCACAAACAAACCGCCAAGGCGTCTATCGTTGTGTGTGATGGTGATGATGGGTATACCCATTCATTGTGTGCAGCGATCTTCATTGCCGAGTCGCCCTTGACGGCCGTGCAGCTGCTCTGGATCAACCTGATTATGGTGTGTGGCGCCCAGTCACCTCTCGATTGCCTGTGTCCATCTGTGTGTGAATGTGTGTGCGTCAGGACTCCTTTGGGTCGTTGGCTTTGGCGACTGAGCCGCCCACTGACGCACTGCTGGAGAGGAGGCCGCACTCGCGAGACGAGTACCTCATCTCTAAGGCGAGCACTCAAGGACGGACAGAGGAGGACCAGACAGACGGCTTGCCCCGTCCGACCCCCCCAATCAATCGGTGTGTGTGTGTTGTGTGTCTGCACGGATCGACAGACCATGTGGCGGAACATCATGGGCCACGCGCTCTACCAGTTCACTGTCATCAGTGTGTTTGTCTACCTCGGTACGGCCGACCCCCCCCAGTGGATGGATGGATGGACGGCGTCATGCTCATGCACTGCGCGGCATGTGTGTGTGTGTGTGTGTGTGTGTGTGTTCTGTGTGTGGGGCGAGTACAGGCGACCAGTTCTTGCCCGAGCGGACCTACGACGGGCAGTACCCCGGCGACGGACAGTTCCCACTCGCGGAATACAATGATTTCAGTCCTTTCTCCGGTAGGGTAGGCCCCCTCCACCCACAACAACACAACGAACGCATCATGCCCTGCCCTCCATTTGTCTGTCTGTCTGTCCGTCCGTGTGTCGACGTGTGTGTGCATTGATTGCATTCATCAGAGTATGGCGACGGCGAGTCGTACGTGCGCAGCGGGCGGCACATGAAGCTCGGCTGGTCTGACGAGAAGGACTACCTCAAGAGCTGGAAGATGGTAAGTACTTACGCCCCATCAACCAGCCAGGGGGAGGGAGAGGGAGAGGGTGATTGATTCATCGTGTGTGTTGTGTGTGTGTGTGTGTTGTGTGTGTGGTGTGTCTACTGTGCAGGAGGGCAAGATCGGTCCGAGTCGGCACTACACGATGGTCTTCAACGTGTTTGTGTGGATGCAAGTCTTCAACCTCTTGAACGCCCGCAAGATCCACAACGAGTGGAACATCTTCGACGGCATCTTCAGGCACGCACACACACACACACACACGCAGCGAGCATCTGACACACGCAGAGAGAGAGGGAGAAACACGTCGTGCATGACGCAATCGATGGGTGGTGTGGCTGGGGTGTGTTGTGTGCAGGAATCGGATGTTCGTGTACATCTGGTTCCTCATCGTGATACTGCAGTCCGTCATGGCCCAGTTCGGGAGCTTCGTGCTCAGCGCACACAAAGACGTAAGCACGGACGGACACGTCAACAAATCACAATCACACACACACACACGCGCGTCAAAACCCTGATCGATGGCTCTCTCTCTCTCTCTCTCTGTGTGTGTGTGTGTGTGTGTCTGTGGATATGGCCCACCATGGCTTGCTGCACCATACCATCCATCAGGGTTTGACATGGGAGCAGTGGCTTATCTGCATCGCATTCGGTGCGGGCGAGCTGGTCGTCCAAGTCCTTCTGAGACTCATACCCGTCAAAATCATGCCACAAACAGGTCACCCTCACCCTCACCCTCCAACACACACATCCACTGAGGAAACAAATGGCTATCTGTCTGTACCTCTGTGCCTGTGTGTGTGTGTGTGTGTTTGTGTGTGTGCAGGTGCCCAGCAGGTCGACCCAATGGAGGCGCCGCCGTCCATCGCCCAGATGTCGAGGGGCAGGATATCCTCCGACCGCATCGCAGACCGGCTCGGCAGCGGATTTGGCTCACATGGAGAGCACAGGAGAGCTCACACCATCGTGTAAGTACCAGAAGGAGACCGACACACCCACCACACACAGGACAGAACATCCATCTCACTGTGAGTCGTTTGATTGGTCAGGGCATCATCGTTTTCTCGTGGTGGGAGTGACAGGGCGCTGGGGGCTGCGGTCATCAACATTCCACAGCCGTCAATACCCAAGTCACGACCCTGACCTTGATCTTGCTCATGACCCCTCTCTCCTCGCCTCCCTGCTATATATATATATATCTGGCCCTCTCCCTCCCTGCCTCCCTCCCTCTCTCTCTCTCGCACACCTCCGTGTTCGCGTGTGTGTTTGTGTTTATTATCGGAGGGGGGTCGGTCGGTCCGCCTGTTTGGTGGGGGAATGGGTGGGTTGGTGGGAGGGGGGGTGGGGGTCGATCTTGTCTGCTGTCTTATTGTACAGATTGTTTTTCAACCACTGGCTGATCGATATCATGCAGGGCGATGGGTGGCTGATGGGTAGGCCCCTTTGTTGTCGGGCCGGCGGCGTGTTTGTTGATGAGGGAGGGAGGGAGTGTATGCGGGTGTGTGTGTGTGTCGTTTCGACACTCGTTTGTTGTCTGGCCTGCTTCGACCATGAGCAGGATTTCTCCAAACCAATGCACTCACACACACAGACACACAGACACACACACATTCGTGTGTGCGTGTTGCCGTGTGAGTGTGTCAGCCCCATTGCTGTGCTCGTCAGTCCATGATGTGTGCCGTGCCTGTTGGTGTGGCCACAGTGTGTTGTCAACAAACAGACAGACACCAGGATGGTGAGAATGCGGCCGTTGTCTTGCCTCAATGTGCTTGCCGCTCGGACCTGATGCACACTCACTCACAGACACGCAACTCGCAGACAGCCGACAGACAGAGAGAGAGAGAGCGAGAGAGAAACGCCAACCGGCCAAGACACACAGACACACACACAGAGACAAGAGAGAGAGAGAGCGAGAGAGAGATCGAGGAGGTGTGTATATAGCTACCTACCTATCTATGAGGTGCGTGTGCCTGTGGGTGTGCCTGTGGTGTGCCGACAGTGCAAGACAGAGAGAGAATGAGTCAATCTTTTTCACTGTGCCCTTTTATAGTGGACAGATTGAGATTGGTGTCCGCCCGTCTACTTACATAATTCGGTGGTGAATGAATGAGTCAGTCAGTGAGGCGGGCAGGTGGTTGCTGTGGCGAGGTGTTTTCTGAAGGCTTGTCGCGTCGCGCTTGCAGAGACAAACGAGTCTGAGCGACCCGCTTACCATGAGGGATTTTACTCATAGATAGTCAGTCGTTCGTGAGAATTTTTGGGTGTGTCTGCCTTGCATGCTGTTTGCACACACAGACAGACAGACAGTCGCTGCAAGAACAATGAAACAAATCACCGTGATGGAGCCGACAGAAAAAATGGGGTAGAGCGCAATGACGCGTGAAACCTACCAGCACTGCCTGGGCTTCCTTCCTCTCCCCACCCTGTGGTCTGCCGGAATGCAGTTTGTCATCGTCTCAGCGGTCGTCGGCTGCCTGATGGCGCCCAGCCATGCCTTCACCCTCCCCTACTCCCCCTCCCACGCCACCCGGCCCTCACTCAGGCGAACCCTCGACGCGCGGAGACCCCCCACCTCGCTGCACATGTCCACCAAGACAGAGGCGATCGTGGAAGGTGCGCATCTGCCACCACCGGCACTCGTCTCACATAGATCCACCCCAAGGGAAAGCTGTGTGTCGTGTGTGTGTGTGTGGTCTGCGTGTGTGTGGCAGAGCTGAAGGGGCTGACGCTTTTGGAGGCCTCAGAACTGGTCAAGCAGATCGAGGAGGCCTTTGGAGTGGACGCATCGGCGGCGGCGGCGATGCCTATGGGCGCCATGATGATGCCGGGTGCCGCTGGTGGGGCGGCAGAGGCGGAGGAGGTGGCCGAGCAGACCGAGTTTGACGTCATCCTTGAGGCTGTCGAGAACAGGTCAGCCAGCCTCAGCACACAGCTCACAGGCATGCTTGGCCTTTTGGTTTATCTCTTCTCTCTCCATCTGCCCGTCGATGGTGCAGGATTGGCGTGATTAAGGTGTTGAGGCAGCTGAACCCCGAGTTGAATCTCAAGCAGGCCAAGGAGTTCGTCGACGGGCTGCCCAAGGCCTTCTTCGAGGGAGTGCCAAAAGACAAGGCCGAGGATGCTAAGAAGAAGCTCGAGGATGCGGGAGCAAAGATCACCGTCAAGTAGACAGACAGACAGACAGACGTATGTGCCTGCCTGCCTGCCTTGTGTGTGGGGGGTGGCGGGGATCTGTCGTGTGTGTATGGGCGAAGAGGGCGGTGCTTTTGCCCTCTGTCTGGGTGAGTTGAAGGGGCGGGTGGGTGTGTTGCATACACACACAGGCGATGCCTGTCGCTGTGCGTTTGAAGACGACCCGACGACTGACTGCCTGGCACATATACAAGCATGAACGCGTTGATCACGAGTTGAACACAACAAACACTGTCTTGGTAGGGTATCCTCCCGAAACAATGCCATTGCAGTGGCGTGTGTCATCCGATCCATCCATCCATCGACACAAACAAGGGTCTCTCTTTTAACATGCAATCACCACCCTGTCGGTCTGTCTGTCTGGCTGGCTACACCTTCTCGTATTCGAGCTTGCCCTCGAGCTTCTTGGTCTCGGCCAACTTGCGCGCAGCCTGGCAGGCACCCACACACACACCGACACACACGAGAGGCAGGCAGATCCACACGCACGAGAGGCAGGGCGCGGCGCGGCGTATCGACAGGCGCTGGCTGGCTGACTGACCTTGTAGAAGTCCTCCTCAACGACGTAGTCGCGTTCGGCCCGGATGGCAAACATACCTGCCATTGTGAACAGACAAACAATCAGAAAAATGGGCGGTGTGCAGTGCGGTGTGTTGACCCCACCGCCCCCCCACCTGCTTCGGTGCAGACATTTCTGAGGTCCGCGCCGTTGAAGCCGTCACACAGCTTGCAGATGGACTCGAAGTCTGCGCATCGACACGACACAGGCGTCAGGTGTGTTTTGCTGTGGCCTTCATCTATCTATCTATCTATCCGTTCGTTCGTTCGTTCGTTCATTCCTACCGACGTCGCCGTGTTTGGTGATGGCATTGGCATGGATCTTCAAAATGTCCACCCGGGCGCTCTCATTCGGCAGCGGGATCTCGATCTTACGATCTGAGCAGAGAACACACACACAGACATTTTGTGTGCACATGTGTGAATGGCGGGTGTGTTCTCTCTCTCTCTGTGTGTGTGTGGCCCACATACCGAGTCTGCCTGGTCTGAGCAGGGCGGGGTCGAGAATGTCGGGCCGATTGGTGGCCATGATGATCTTGACCGAACCCAACTCGTCAAACCCGTCCAACTGATTCAACAGCTGCACACACACACACAGGGGAAACCGAAACACACAGAGGGAGGTCTCTGTTGAGAATGCAAAGCGGCGATTGTGTGCTGACTGGCTGACCTCCATGAGTGTCCTCTGGATCTCTCTGTCGGCCGATGTGCCCTGTGAGAACCGCCGGCCGCCGATGGCGTCAATCTCGTCCATAAAGATGATGCACGGCTGGTGCTCCTTGGCATAACCTGATGTATGTCGGAATTTAACAAACCACACACACATGGATGGATAGGGGGATGAGCTCGAGGCGGTGCCGGCAACAGCGTTCGCTCACCGAACATCTCCCGGATGATGCGGGCGGACTCGCCGATGTACTTGTCGACAATGGCCGAGGCGACGACCTTCAAAAAATTACACGACATGTTGGACGCCATCGCCCTGGTGCAGACAGACAGACAGACACCACACCGACACATGGACACATATGGCAGGGGAAACGATTGCCGTGTGGTGGTGGTAGTGTGTTGTGTGGATGGTGACCTGGCGAGGAGCGTTTTGCCGGTCCCCGGCGGCCCGTAGAGCAGCACGCCTTTGGGCGTCTTGATGCCCACTCGCTTGAACAGCTCCGGGTTCGTCAGAGGCAGCTCCACCACCTTGTTGACACACACATACACACATACACACAATGCAGACAGAGGTCAAGAGGTGCATCGAGAGCGTCTCCGTCCGCTGACCCAACGGACGCACCTCTCTCATCTGTCTGATTTGTTCGGTGAGTCCGCCGACTTCGGTGTAGGACACCTTGCCGGGGTCCTCGTGGAGCATATTGTACACCATGGGGTCGACCTCCCGCGGCAAACTCCTCATAATCGTCAGAGTCGTCATGTCCTGATGATCGATGGATGCACCAGCCAGACGCGCTGGTTGTTCTTGTCATCTTGGTGTCTGTGTCTGTGGGTATACTGACTGACCAGTGCGACTCGGACACCCGATGTGAGCGTGGCTTTGTCGAGCTTGGGCTTGCAGCCAACCACATAGCGGGGGCCGCTGCTCGCCTTCACTATGACTGGTCCACCACAGCCACACACAGAGGGAAAGAAAGAAAGACAGACACACGTGTGTCCAAGTGGTCTCTCCCTCCCTCAATCTGTGTGTGTCGTGTCGTGCAGGGTGCGGTGCACCCGTACATCGTTCCTCGTCGAGTTGCCTGAGCACTTCGCCGATGATCTGCCCCACCGACTGCAGGGCTTTGAGGTCCTCCTCAGTCTTGTCAAACTCCTTCTGCAGATCCTTGACCGTCTCACGGACTGATCCCACCACACATAAACACAAAACACAGAGAGAGAAGGAGACCACCGTCTGCTTGCGCCACGCATGATCTGTCTGTCTGCCTCTCCTCCCTCCCTCCCTCTCATCGCACAAGTACCCGTCTTGAGTTTGCTCTCCACTTCTCTGTGGTCCTGCACCTTCTTGACATAGTCTTTCAGCGCCTTTTGCCGCCGCTCATCGACTGCTGGAGCTGGAGCCAAAGGGGCAGCAGGTGTCGGTGTGGCCGCGGGAGCATCCCCGGCGGGCGGCTGTGCGGCGGGAGGGGGTGGACTGCTGTCAGCCATGAGGAAAGCGATAGATGAGCTGACGCACAGACTCTGATGGAGTGCGCCCTGCTGTGAAACGGTATGAGTGAACGTTATATCGGGCTCAGGCGGCGTTAAGGGGGACGGGATCTACGCAACAACCGAAACAAAGCAACCGACAACAGATGGGCGGAAACTATCAACCGCATGGACAACCTATCCCATTCGGGCTTCGCAGCCGCTGGCGGCTCTCCGGTGGAGCACATGAGCGGCGGATACAAGCGCCCATTGCCGGCGGCGGCGGATGGCGGCGATGGCGGCGGCCTCGCCTCTCAGCTCGCCGCAGTCCGACAGCAGGCGGCCCTCATCATCGAGGAGGCTGACAAAATCGACAGAGAGATCAGCGACAGGGTCACAGCGATGGGCGGCACTGCAGACGTCACGCAGCTGCCGGCAGATAGGATGGACGACAAGATCGACATCAATGTGAGCGGGGAGCTTCTTCGCGGTGTGAAGCGGTCGGCCCTCTGTGCGGTCAAGGGCACCGTGATGGCCACCCTGTTCGACGGCCGCTTCGACAGGGCCGTGCTGCGCGACTCGGAGGGTCGCATATTCCTTCCCGTGTACCCTCCTGTGTTCAGCACGTAAGCAAAGAGGAGGAGAGCGACGGGATGCGTCACTGACCCATGTGTTCTGCCGCTGTGTGTGGACGTGGTTTGGTGTGGTTTAGGATGGTAGAGCAGTTGCAGGGCTACGAGCGTGGAGAGATCGATGCCATCACCCTACACGAGTCCAACCAAAGTGACCTGGCGTACAGGTGAGGCAGGCAGACGCAGTGCCGAGCCAAGATGGGCACTGTTTGTCGAAGTGTGCGGCGATTTATGTGCGTCAGCTACTGGTTTGGGCGGCTGATGCACAACCCCTTGACCAAGCGGCCCAGGGCCGGCGGCGCGGGGGACGGTGACATGATGGACGACATCGGTGACGATAGCGGTGCCGGTGGCGGTGTGGTGGGTATGGGGAAGAACCTGCTGGGGGAGTTGGAGGGAATAGATCACGAGAAGGCGGCCGAGATGGCCCGCCTGGACGCCATCGAGCCCATGCTCAAGACGGGCGACGTAGAGGATGATCAGGTGGGTACAGACACGAGAGAGGTTAAATGCCATGGTGCATCGGTGCATCCTTCCGCCGTCGTGTGGTGGCGTGTTGTTTCAGTTGTTGTCGATTGTCCAGCAGACCCGCGGCGTTACGGTGACTATGACGCAGGCGGCGGCCAAGTCGCTGCCGGACGGCGAAAACAGCACACTCTACGGACGATTCACCAAGTAGGCGCAAACACCGATGGGGCGGTGTGGCCATCCATCCATCCATCTGTGGTGTCACTCAGGTATGATCCGTCGACTCAGTGTGGGCTGGACGATGCGCGTCGTGTGGTCGACATCGTGGTGCGGGCCCACCAGCAGCGGAGGGGCATCACGGCGGCTGACGTCCGGAAGGCCATGGGCAACACCAACCCGAAGCTGTTCCGCTGGGCCCTCGACGTGTTCGGCATCGACGCCGATGCTTTCCTCGGGCTGGCTGGCATACAGCACCTGCAGAACATCAAGCAGTGGGCGGCGCAGATCCGCAGCTTCCCTGCCTTCCCTGACATCCCCTTAGACGTTGGCGGGTCTGTCCTGCGCCTGTACAAGTGAGCTGACACGTTATGGCATCCCCCCTGTGGCACGCTATCCTTTCTCCTTCTCTATGTGTGTGTGTGTGTCTCAGGGCGAGCGTAGATGGATGGCGTTTCGGAGATCTGCTGGATTCGGTCGAGGCCCACGAGTACGAGCTGCTGCTGCTGATCCTCCGCGCGAAGCGCACCGGCGAGCTGCTCGCGAGCGTCGTCAATGGCAAGATCGCCGTGACGGGGCCGGAGAAGAAGATCTACTCTTACGGTGCCCCGCATGCCTTCAACTTCAAGCTGACAGGCACTGCCGCACACCCACACGAAGGCTACATCGGAGACAGCGGCATCCACCTGGCTGGGCTGCAGGAGAAGCTGAAGATGGCCGACCTGGCCAACACTGCCGGGCCCGGCCTGCCGTGCGTCCTTTGCACGGGCCGCTTCGACATCGGCATCATGGCAGCCGGCGCGCAGGTCCCAGCAGCACCGGCGGACGTGCCGCTCAAGAGGTGCCAGGCATCTGTGCATAAGAGCGATGACCGCTGGGGGGAGTGGGAGAGGCAGGAGGCTAGGCGGTTTCTGCCTGTGTCTGAGCTGGGTTTCCAGTTCGAGCTAGATGAGATGGAGGTGTTAAAGCTGAGCTGAGAGAAGGAGGGAGGAAGCAGGGAGGGAGGGAGGGGAGCGCTAGGTAGCCGGGGGCGGGCTGTAATTTTGGTACAACGGAACATTACGTAGGTAGTTTTTGATTCTGTTGCTCTTCAGCAAGG